CCGGGGGGGCCAGACTGGGCCGCGCCTCCTCCCCCCACTCCCCCCCTTACCTGCTTCAGGCTTCCCGCGAATCAAATGTTCGCGGGAAGCAGGGGAGGGGGCAGAGTTGGGGCGGGGGCATGGGCGGGGCTGGGGCCGGGGCCCCGTGGAGTGTCCTCCTTTTGGACACTCAAAATATGGTAACCCTAAGCTTGTGCACAGATCTTTGCATGATTGGCCTCTTTTTTGGCAAACTAAGGGCTTGATCCAAAGTCCACTGAAGTCAAGGAAAATATTCCCATTGACTTCAGTGGGCATTGGATCAGGCCCTAAGCATTTGAAGGATGAGGCCCTAGCTGTAGTGTATACACAATAATTTTCATTTTTTAATTCCTCAGTGCCACTGTAACAGAAATTGTGCTGAAAAATCTATTATGAGCAATTTAAATATGAAATTATAAAAAACACATTTTATAATGCTGATATGTGAGATTATACAGTGATGTCCTAGACAAACTGATGTCAAGGCAAATAATGTCACCATAAAAAAGGAAAATTTAAAAACAAAGACAAAAATAGGCATATAAAAGGCATCTGATAGCAAGTTTCAGAACATAATGGAAAATTAAAAAAAAATACTTGGCTATGTATGGAATTGTGTGAAATTTTGTCCCATCAAATTTTGATGAAATACATGACATTTTGTTTTATTTTTCAGTTTCATGATTTTGACAAAGAGATATCCAGCTATTTTATAGTTGAAATCAATAAATATCAATGGCTGCAGAGGGCAGTTTTCTCTTCTTCTGAAAGATGATCTAAAAGTAGCAAGATACAGTCTGTCTTGAGAAGACAAAGCAATCTCTTCGTTACAACAAATACTGGATATAAGGAAAGAAAAGGGGGTTTTCAGATTCACTTTGATGCTGATGTCCATCAGAAGATACAATATCAAATCAGATGCTATTGTCAAAATTACTATAGTATATCGATTAATACTTACATGCAATGCTTTAGCTATCAATTCTGCTCCATTGGTACAAATATCATTAAACATCAGATTGAGGTAGTGCAGGGTTGAGTTTTCCTACAGTACACAAACAGGAAACCAACGCCAAACTCAGAAATATATTTTACAGAGCATTTTCTCATTTTAAAGAGCTGATGCCTCACACGGGTTTGAAAGACATTTTGTTTAGAAACTGTTTTCTCCATAATTAATATGTTGAGCACCAACATTTAAAAACAACACAAAAATGAACACAGCAGTGATTAACCAAAAACTAACAAACATCCTTATTAACCAATGGCCCAGCTTCAAACTGCTACATTTGCATATTCAGTTTTCAACATGCCAAAGGTTTTTGTACCTACAACAAATAACCTCATCACAGAAGATGACAAGGGGCAAATCGGAGGTTTAGGCAAGTGGGGAAGTATTTGTTTAGATAATTAGGGAGGTGTGGGAGGCAGCTTGGGACTGGGGGATACCAGTGCTAAAACGCTACTAACATGATCATCAATAAAAAAGTTAATACTGTTGATATTTAAATTGTCATCCTTAGGTTTCAGTTCAAAGCCCCGGGAAAAGACTGCAATAGTATATGCCTCAGAGGTACTGTTTCAGGCTGTCAGCAGGCTCAGGAAAGCAATACTGCACTGGTTTACACGGATCACATTTTCAAGATTTTCTACACAACTATTAGAGCTAGAAGCATAAATTTTCATTTTAAAATGAAAGTTTAGTTTCGGAGCATGATTCTGAAGCAATGAGCTAACTCCATAGATGTGGAGTTGCAGACTACAGGGATTCCTGTATATAGCTTGCTTCTGGCGGGCACTAGAAGCCTATGTTTTTAAGTTTCCATACATACTAAGGATATACATTATGTTTTTGTGCATTTCCGTTAATTTTGTCATGCACAATATATTACCAAAATGCTACACAAATGCAGACTGTACTGTAAAAACCACATATATTGAAACAACTGCAAAAAGTTTATGATGAATGCAATCTGATATTATAAATTGATGGATCTGGATATGCAAAGCCAAGATTTCTGGAATTTTTCCAAAACAACACATACTGTCACCAATATATTGCACATAAATGTTATCATGTCCAATGAAACCACAAACTTGAGGAAAAAATCAAATATTTTGGCCCAGAGAAAACTACCTGAAGGAATTTTGCAGCATGCTCTGCTCCAACATCAGTTAATACATTATATCTAAGGTCCAGCCCTGAAAGGCAAAGAATACAGAAATAAATAAGACTAACAACACTTATTAATAACTAATTGATCTCCACATGAAAGGTAAGAAGAAAGAACTGTTTCTTGTTTCCAATTTATAAAGAGATATGAAGTAATGAGACGACATACCTGTAACAAATGTGTTATTGCTTAAGATGCAGGCAAGCATTCGAAAATCCTCATCTGTAACTTTCTGTACTGGCACCAAGCGGTTATTTCCAGCTATTTTTAATGTGATCCTTTTTGTCAATCTGTTGTAATGTAGAAATACTTTAAAACATAAGGATGGCAGGAGAAAGAAACACTATACAAAGTATTAGTTCTATATGTATCATGGGATGGAGATGCAATAGTGCTTCCCCCTCACTAGTATATTTATCAGGATTGTGAAATCTGGATCAAAAAAATCCATGGAGAACAATGCTATACTAGCTGTAATTCATAATTGTCCATTTTGACTGCCTGATACACTATACTGCCACAAGAACCCACTTAGAATTTTAGCAACAAAATGATTCAGGAGATTATTCTGGAAGGTTCAGTCTCTCCTTTTTCCTTTGTTTTACTCTACCCCATCCTCAATAATTGAGCCCAGAAGAAAACAGTTCTCTTTCCATTTTCTCTACATCATCTTTCCTCAGACCACCCCAAACACACAAAGAAATCTGTCCTCTATAGCCAGCACCCTACACTGGAACCCATACACAGTGCTATCAAACAACCACAACCCAGACTCAAACAGGACCCCCCCAACCTGAAAGAAATCTTTCCTGAACCTCCACTTCTGGCCTTCAAACTACCCCCCAACCTCTCCAAGCTCGTCGTCAGAAGCAAGATCTCCGCAGACCAGGATACACCAACTCAAAGCAGCATCAGACCCTGCCGGAACAACAGATGCAAAACCTGCAGATGTATCTCCACTGCCACAATGATCAACATACCTTTCAAGATCCATGGGTCCTATACATGCCTATCACAACATGTGGTATATGTCATCCAGTGCACTAAATGCCCAAATAACAATTATGTGAAACCAGGCAATCACTATGCTCTCGAAAGAACTCACTTAGAAAAATGATAAAGGACAAAAACACCCTATCACCTCTGGGTGAACACTTTTCACAAAGTGATCTATATCTGACATATCGGTCCTCATCCTCAAATGAAACCTACTTTCAAATTCATTACTCTGGGAGCTTAAATTCATTACTCTGCTAGATACCAAAAATCATGGGCTGACCAGAGACAGTGGATTTATGGCTTATTACAACAATCTGTAACTCACTAACCCCTTCTTTTTATCCTATGACTGCAGAGGTGTTAACCGGTCACTTTACCTTGAATAAACAACAGGAGTACTTGTGGCAGCTTCTAAAGGTTTTCAAACTGTGGGGTGCAAAGAAACGTTCTGAGGGGTGAGTGGCGACGCCAGGCCTGTCTGGGTTGGGGGGGGGCACATCCAAAAATTGTAACTCAAAGGGTGGGGCTCAGTTCAAATTTGGGTGGCATGCTGAGATGAGTCAGGGTGGAGGTGGCGCTCCCCACCGCCCAAGCCCTGCTGCCTGGGGCTGGCCCAAGGTGAGACAGGCAGTGAAGATGACACTCCCTCCCTGAGCCCTGCCAGTTGGGGCTAGCCTGAGCTGCCTGGCGTCACCGCTCACACCTCCCTCTCCCCCCACACGAACATTCCTCCAGGGCATGCTCCAGTTTGAGAACCTCTGTACTAAATAAAATGCGTTGTCCACCATTACAGGATTTTTCTCACGTACCTGTTGACGAGAGCTTGCGTAGTTTGGAAACTACTGCCCTATATGTTTTGTACTTTTTGAGTTTTCTGCCTGGAAGGAATATGCAGCTACAGACTTTTGCCAAGCTGTTGTCAACTTGAATTAAACCAGAACTCCTGCAATAAAATCTAAACCCAAAAAAAGTGATGTGTGTTTAAACCAGAGAACTGTCCTTTTTCATCATTCCATTCCTGGTTCTGTTACGCTGTCCAAAGCTTTCAGAAGTATTTAAAATATGCTATTTATTATTTCCTTACGTTATATCTGCTTTCTCGGCTTCTTCAAGCATGTGGGCTATGAAAGGGTTTTCTAGCTGGCTCGACTCTTGGCAGGCTTGCAAATACTGTTTATGGAGACTTAGACGAGTTGACATGACAGCTTAAAAATAAAAGCAATTTAGTAGACAGTTGTATGCATTTCTAACGTGCCCATCATATAGAATCTGGGCCCCTACGAAATTGAGAGACAGCAGTAAGTCAAAGCACGCTATAGACTTTTAGTGTCCTGTAGGAGTTTCCAGATGACTAGTTAGTACATGGCAGGCTAGAGCACTGTAGATTTACACTATTTCCCACGCACTAACTCTCCATACAGACATGCCCAGAGTGATCTTTAGTGCTAACACCAGGTAAGAGTGTGTGTTGCAATAATGCAGTCTGGAGAATTCACATGCATGAATCTCTGTAATGAGGCCATAACAGAGGGGAATAGTTCAACCACTTAGCCATTTCTGGATGGAAAAAATGCATTTCAGGCTACTCATTTTGAGCATCTAGGACAAGTATTAGGATCTGGGACTATGAACCATCTTGACTTTTTGGCCATGTCTACACTACAAACTTTGGTCAACGCAAGCATAAAGCTGCCCCGGTTAGTATTTTGGCTCCTTGCGTCAGTGCTCTGCATATTCACCAGGATGCTTGTGTTGATGAACAGCAATGCACCGTGCATAGGTATTCCAGTGTGCGACTCACCATCATCCAGCACACTGTCTTTTGGGAAATACTAGCAATGCCTGGTGGGGCAGGAATACCCTGGGAGAAAGGGGTCAAGTTCTCATCATGCATCTTTCTCTATCCCATAATGTCATCCATATCCCTTCATTTTGGTGCCTTTTTAAAAAAATCCTACAAAACTGCACAGTATTTCTCACTGTCTGCCATCTCTGAAGTATGGAGCCCACAAAGCTCTACACTTTTGTCACAAGCATTGCGAACACAAGGATGTATGATCCTGATATTTGCAGAGCTTCAAGAAGAACTGCAGCAGCAGAGGATGTAAACATTTATTGGAGGACAGATTATTGTGGGACATAGCGAGAACCAATTCAATGTTGTTGGTGGAGTTCACGGAGCAGCTGCAGACGGTGGAATGCTGCTTCTGAGCCCGAGAAACAAGCACTGGCTGGTGGGATCATATCATAATGCAGATTTGGGAAGACAAGGCTTGGCTGCAGAATTTTCTGATGTGAAAGGCCACACTCCTTGATCTGTATGCTGAATCCCCAGCCCTCCAGCACAGAGACACCAGAATTAGAGCTGCATGGACAGTTGAGAAGTGAGTGGCGATCGCACTGTGGAAATTTGTAACACTAAATTGATTGCTACCAGTCAGTGGGAAATTATTTTGGAGTTGGAAAATCCACCATGGGGGCAGCTGTCATGCAAGTGTCATGCTACGCAGGACTGGACTCTTGGTAATGTGCAAGACATAGTGGATGGATTTGCATCAGTGCAGTTCATGAACTGTTGTGGGGTGATAGATGGCAGGTATATCCCTATTTTGGCACCAGCCCACCTTGCCACAGACTACATCAACGAAAAGGCTTTTCTGTGGTAATACAAGCATTGGGGGCTCACCAGAGACACTTCCCCATATCAGTACTGGCTGGTCAGGGAAGATGCACGACGCTTACATCTTTAAGAACAGAGGACTGTTCAGAAAGAACATTCTTTCCTGACCAGCACATTAGCACTGCCGATGCTGAAATGGCAATAGTGATCCCGGGGGACCCAGCCTACTGCTTGCTTATGAAGCCAGTCATCTCAACAGCACCAACGAAAGGTTCAACTACCAGCTCAGCAGGTGCAGAATGACAGTTGAATGTGCTTGTGTTAGATTGAGGGGAATCTGGCCGTGTTTACTGTCTTCTTTTCCATATTCTCCTGAGTCATCTTCTTTTTCCTCCTTATCCAGGTCAGGCTTTCAACAGGTGTGGAGGGGGACCCCTCCAGGCCACAACCACAGAAGACACAGAAAAAATTCAAAGTGGTATCGTTGTATTTATAAAGTGAAAGTTAAGTTTCAGAACTCCCTTCCTTTCCTCTCCTAAAGTTTTAAACAAGACATGCTTATTGACACTTCAGCTCCAGAATGCTTGTGCACAGCACGGCTCTCCAGTTCCAGCCATGGTGAGTATGGCCCAGCAGGGGCACGGGGTAAATGAGGAGAGAATTGTAGGGCAATGGTACTGAGTACTGGCACTGTTTTCCACAGGCAGTGGTGATTTTAGCTGGTCTCTTGCTTCTGAGGGTAACAAAGGAACAGAGAGCACAGCTGCTGCGGACATCCCAAAGCCACTTGGACCCATATGCTGCTAGCCTATGTACTGCTATGGTGCCTGCCGAAGTCATTGCGGACTGGCGTGGGAAAGTGTCCTACCACAGAGGAAGAAATAAGACGGCCATCCCTAGAAAGCTTTGGGAGAGGATTGCGGAGTATGAAAGTGTCATTGAGAACTCTTTGGAGGGTTCAAGGGACATCCTTGTGTACATAAACAAACTGCTCTGCATGGCCTCCCTTGCCTGACTCTACAAGGAAATGAAAACCATATAACTCTACCTCTGTTTGATGTACCGCTACCTCTTCTATGAGTAAATTAATGTAAAGTCAATACCTGCTTCCTGATGCACTGGGTCAGGCACCATCTGTACATTTAATCACTGTAATGGGAACTGCATTCACACATTTACCCAAGGTTCCTTTCCCTACTCGCCCGAGCTCTGCTGATGGGGCTGACTAGACGGTGGTGGAGCCTCAAACAGGTCCTGGCTCGCAGCATAGTTGGACACCCCTGAGTGCATGCCCCCACATCCTCCTCCTCACTGTTCACAGCAGGGATCTGTCTCTCAGGCTCCTCAGCAAGTATGGCATGCAGCTCATTGTAACAGCAGCAGGTCCGCAGCTCAGCACTAGATCAACTGTTGGGCCCCCTGGCCTTCTGCAGTTCCTTAGCTTTCACACGTCATCGCTGCTGATTCCTGTCGTACCCCTTCACCTGCATCCCCCATGTAATCTGTCAGGTTTTTATGGCTGTTCCATGCCTGCACAGTCTCTTTTCCCCACAGGCCAAGGAGATCTGATACCTCTTTGTCTATTCCACACAGGAGTATGTCTGGAGCATGTAGCCGGCACGGTTGGTTTGGCAGTTGCACACAACAATGTGCATGGTATGTCCACAAACTGGGCAATCAGGAAAAGGCTTTTCAAAAACATGTGGTTTTTAGTGAGGGTGGGTAGCTTCGGACCTCTGTGACCCGTGGGCAGCAGAGTTCATGCTACTGACCAAAGCAGTGAGTTTCAGGCATTGTGGGACAGCTGCTAGAGGACTGTTAGGGTCAATATAGAACAGACGGTGTCTACACTGCACTCCATCACCACAGTACATTGACCATGGCTCAATGCCATTTGGGGAGATGGTGTTACTGCATCGCTGTATCAGCAGGAAACAAATTTGAATGTAGACTCATGCAAAACTAGGTTGACGCAAGGCGACTTATGTCAACCTAACTTTGTAGTATAGACCAGGCCTGAGAGGCAGATACTCGGAGAGTGAAATCAAAATTCCTCAAAACGATTCCCCCTGCTGATATACATTATTTCAATCCTACCTGTAGTGAGCTTGAGATGTGAATTTTTAAAATAACAAGTAAAAATAACGGCAACTCTTTTGACAAATAACCAACAGAGCAATTCTGCCCCTTTGGGCTGAGGTTCAACAGTCAGCAGTTCTGATTGGAGATGGAATCAATCTTGCTAACTTGGGGGGGAAAACAAAAAAATACCACCTTGGTAGAAAGACTCTAGACTTTGCACTTTTAATCAATATTCAAAATCAGACAAATGACAGAGTAATACAGATGAAAGACTAAACAACCACTTAAGCATCCCTCATCCAGTTTAGGGTTATATTTTGTCCTTGCATATGTACATATGTATTCATACACTTCCCTAGCACTCCACACAGGTCCTTGCCTTCACTGGGGGGAAAAAAGATGGGTTCCTACCTCGAAGTAAAACCGTAGTGAAGACAAGGCAGTTTGGAGTTTTTACATAAGTTAACACTTTGGTCTGTTAAAAGCCGTGTGTCAGACCTTGAAGACAAGGCCCTAACTCACACGGGGCAGATGCAGACAAGCCCATAGAATCAGGAACCACTCCTCTGCTCTACTGCACTGAACAAATCTTGGATGCTTGACAGAATATTCCCATAATGTTTACTATAGGATTCTACGTATAGGGTATGTCTACACTGCAGCTGGAAGCTACCCTCCTAGCCCAGGTAGACAAACTCATGCTAGTTGGGCTTGAACTAGCATGTAAAAATAGCAGCGTGGATGGCCCGGGTGGAGATGCAGGCTAGCCACCCTAGCTCAGATTCAGGGGGTCGGGAGTTCTTGAGAGCCCAAGCCACAAGTTCCACACTGATATTTTTAGTGCAATAGCTCAAGCCTGACTAGCACAAGTCTGTCTGCCTGCTCCCAGCTGCCGTGTAGACATGCCCCTATATTCCTCCATGGCAAAATAACAACCCCACGTCTGTGAGTACTGAATTTTTTACTAAGCAAAACTGAGAGAGATTTCACTGTTGCAATATACTTGATCATCTTTAATCTACTTTTAAATTAGAACTATATTCTCAAAGGCCTGTATCTTATATTGATATTTCCTTAAATAATAAATAATGTGTGTCAATATGCAGCAGTGTAGAATTTCAACACAAATTAAATAATAACTTATGGTATAACTTTTCTAGCAATAAAGTTACCTTCAGAGCTGTGAGCTGTCATTTCACAAAAATCACACTGTATTCTAGGTGCTCTCACTGATAACTCTGATGTCACACTACGGCGGAAAAATAGCCTAATATTAAAAAAAAAATAAACCCTTTACTACACACACACACACACACACACCCCTACACCTGTTTGGCAAACAAGCAACGCTTACTAGGCAATTACAAGTGGATATTTCAGACATTAACTATATTCCTCACAGGTTTTAGTTTCAAATAAGCTTTTTAAAATCAGGCACAGCAAAGCACGCCTCACCGGTTAGGGGCCCAATCCAGCCGAGCGTGCATCGAGGCACCTCCATTATACCCACTAGTAAGTGCTGCTGGCAGAATGGGGCTCTGGGCTAAGTTCCTTCCAAGCCTTGCCCCACATGGCCAGTCTCTCCCCCAGCACGGAATGGGGGGCGGCAAATCTGATCATGCCCAGAGACACCATGGAGAATATCCCCCACCCCTTGCAGGGTCACCCGGGGGGGGGGGAAGGTAGGGCG